ACCAGTTGGCAAAAAGGAGCAGAGAAGCACAGATGGAAACAAAGTCAAAGGAAGAAAAGTGACTTCCATCTTGCCCTGCAGCAGACATCCATTTGCACAAACTAGGGATGCCAATTTAAGAGGTATTTGCCAACACATTTTATAGTGTTTTCTGAGAAACACTAAATCGAATGTTTATTTTATATTCCACAGATAGTTAAGGCAGGTTTAAGAACCAGTGAGCACCTGCAAAAGCCTTTTCTGGGGCAAAAAAATTAAGGAAAATATAAAAAAAGTAAACTACATCTGATTGTTGCATGTTTGGGGAGGGGGTCTCTTTGCTTCTCTTTTCTAACTTACTGAATAGCAAAGATGCTGTTTACCTGTCACTGGGTGCAAGACCACAAGTGTAAGAAGAAATGCGTCGCTGTCCAAGTTCAGGTGCCTCCTTTACACTGCTTAAGTGACCTGCCTCTGACAGCGGGCTTGACCCTAAGTGACAGGACCAGACAGTCTGGTTTTTGCACACCGTAAATGAAAAGCTGGTATCAGCTAAGAAACCATAACCATATCCTGCTTCCCCCTGGGGTGGGTTCAGCCACAGAGGCACACACACAGTAGAAAAGGGTGCTCTCCACTGCCCACTCAAGGCTTTTCCTTGAGCCAGACAACAAATAGCAAAGGCATGGAAATCTGGAACAAGCATTTCCAGCAGCACACCTGGCAAACATGTTCCAAGAAACAATCTTAAAATTGTTGGCCGCTTTCTCTCACCACCCAGCACCACACGTGGGACTGACACCCTGCCCTACCAACAACTTTCTGCCGCACAGGTCAGTGTTTTTTAAAAACACCCCACTTCTGACCGTCCTGTTTGCCATACTCAAGGCTTCATTCTTCATAGGGGAGCCAAGAATCTCACTCATCCATTCCCTTCAGTCTGATGCAGGAAAGTTGGCTCATGCCTTCCCATAATTGTACATCCTCACAAAATGCTGTTGAGCCCAGCTGTGCATAGCACATTTCAGATGTGAAAGGAAGGGTGTTGTTGAGGCACAGAACGTACATAAGTATTGTTATTTCCAAGGTTGTATGGGGAACACAAAGATCCAGACATACAACACTATTTTAAGACTTTGAGCATTGAAACACATTCGTTATTAATGTGCACAAATATATAAAATCCTAAAGATTATAATTAAGGTTAGATTGAGTCAAGCGGTTCATGTGGGAGGTCACAAACTTTAATTCTGATGGTCAACCCAACTTTGACATATTTTCACCCATCAGGTGGCTGGAGACTGAACTGGAGGCAGAGGTCACCTGGATAAAGAGAAAAAAAAAAGAGAAATAAAGAAAGCAACTGGTGTCACAGGAGAAGGCAGTTGCAAGACAGGCAAAGAAGGAGAGCAGGCAATGACTACATAAGAGAGAAGGAGGATAAAAAAAGAAGAATGGAGTCATGAAAGCAGAAGAGGAGCTGGAATTGACATGTGGTAAAAGGGAACGACCTGGGAGTGTATAGGTAAAGTAGCTCAGCTTTGAGAAAAGTCTCAGGAACAAAATTTTCAAAGGTAAAGCAGTCAGCAGTGACAGACCTAAGAGGCAGAACAGAATAAAGCAATATATAAGAAACAGAAGAAGGAAGAGCACAGGGACAAGTGAAAAGAATATAAACTACAGTAAAATTCTTGTCAAGAACTGTAATGTGGACTTCGACTCACCAATTAATTTTACAGCGGCCTAGTAAATATCAAACATCAGGCCCTGATTGGACAGTGAGTAGTGCAAAGGTGCTCACTCCTCAGAATCACAAAACCACTGAGATGAGGACTGTATTTTGAGTCAGGGAAAATGAGGCAAAAGCCTCTGGATTCCGGAGCCAGATAGTCAACCACACAATTCTTCCACTGCAAGAATATTTTAGTAAATAAAAGACCCTGAAACAGCAATCAGATTTAACAAGCTCAAGGCAAATATGGGAGAGGCAATATAGGACAAGTTAAAATTAGCGTCTTCTAAGTTATTGTAAGAAATTTATGGGAGAAGCCAAATATCTTAAGAGTTTGAACAGTTTATGATGTTTTGAGAGCTTTAAAATAAAATCAATGCCTTTGCAGCACATTAATTTTTTCAAATAACATGTGAATCAAAGCTGTTTCGTCTCAGAGCATTTGAGATAATGGCGACCGCAAATGCCTGAAAATATTTATGTGAAAATTCTGAAAATTAAAGAAACTGAAATTCAGAGCAAGCATTTCATCCCCGATCTAATTTGTACCATTATTACTCAGTTTCATAATTTTACCATAAACATCTTCATTATCTAGGACTTGATGTCGGTTTTGTTTTTGAGTTTGTGCCCTTTGCAAATTTTATAGAGCCCTTTGCATCTCACTAATTACTAGTGCTTAGTAGGAGATCAGGAATGTCACAGTGATCCTCTCTCTCTTGCTGACTGCAAAGGGTAGGAGGGGATCAGATAATCAGCAAGGGTTGCTGCTCCCTCACTGAAAGAGCTCCTGCTGTTCAGACCTTGGTGGATTGCTCAGGGAGCTCAACTACTACCTCACAGCTCTGGGCAGTCACACTGATCCCTCTTTTTTATCCTTCTACTTCCCCGGATCAGTTATGGCTTTCTGTCATATGTTCTGGACAGAGGAAGCAGGTTCCTTGTTCTCAGTCACCTCTGGGACACCTATGCCGACCTTCTTCCTCCCACCCCAAGGATCAAACACGTGGGGGTTGGCCTAAACATGACAACAAAGGGGTTCTAATCATCTGCTTTTAAATCAAACACTTTGATAGTCCAGGAGTAGATGAGATCCAGGAATTAATCTGACTGAGCCCTTCACCCTGTGAGGGGATGCATGCAGACGTCCACACAGAGCCCAAAAGAATCACAGACACAGATCCCACAGCACAGTCAAGTTAAGGCCAGGAAGAGCAGCTCTTCATTGTCTGAACTGAGCAAAGACCAAACAGCAAAACAGAAGGGAAGCAGCAAAACTTACAGCTGGGTACAACTGAAAGAATTTTTTAGAACTTTGTAAAGAAAGGGATTCCATCCTGTCTGCTCAGTGTCCCTAAGAGACTCTCTGGCAGGCTGGAGGCACCAGTGCATTAAAACCTGCCTTGGAAGGGCTGTCTTATGCTGGAAGTGTGATGAAATGGCCTTACAATGACGACTGAGGACAGGGTGGAACAGCATGGAGATAGAGTGGAGGGTGCTGCAGCTTTGGGATGTGGTGGTTGGCCTGAATAGTTGTGAAATGCCACAGGACTCACAGGGTGACACCACAGGTAACACAATGCCCCAGAGAAGGGACAGAGTGACACAACTTGACGCAGCCAGGCAGTCAGCAGGGCCAAGGGGGCCTGTGCTGACCCTGTTGCTGCACCCAACCCTGGGGATTACAGCTCAGTGGGACAACCTCAGCTCTCAGCTCTGCAGAGGACTTGGGAGTCTTGGTGGGTGATAAGTTGACCATGAGCCAGCTGTGTGTCCTGGCAACCAGGAAGGCAAATGGGATCCTGGGGTACATCAGGAGCAGTGTGGCCAGCAGGTCGAGGGAGGTGATCCTGCCCCTCTACTTCACCCCAGTGAGGCCACATCTGAAATTCTGTGTCCAGTTCTGAGCTCCTCAGGACAAGAAAGACAAGGAACTACTGGAGAGGGTCCAGCAGAGGCCACAATGATGATGAGGGGTCTGGGGCATCTCTCTAATGAGGAAAGAGTGCAGGAGCTGGGCCTGTTTAGTCTGAAGAAGATTGAGAGGGGAACTCATCAATGCATACAAACATCTCAAAGGCAGATGCCAAGAGGATGGTGCCTAGCGACAGGATGAGGAGCAGTGGCCATAAACTAAAACACAGTAAGTTCCACCTCAACGAGAGGAAGAACTTTTTTGTGTGGAGGGTGGCAGAGCACTCGAATAGGCTGCCCAGGGAGGTCGTGAAGTCTCCCTGTCTGGAGACATTCCAAGCCCACAAGGACACATTCCTGCGTCACCCGCTCCAGGTGACACTGCCTTGGCAGGGAGGCCGGACTGGATGATCTGCTTTCCACAGGTTCCTTCCACTCCCAACAATTCTGTGACCCTGTGAGCCCAGAGGGAAGCGGTCTGGGCTGTACGCGGTGACGTCACTTGTGGCGGCTCCGGGGACAGTGACGTAACCGCTGGGATCACAGCAGGGGCAGCGCTCACAGCAGGGTCGCACAGCCGCGGCGGGGCTGCACAGCGCAGCTCCCTCCTGTGGGGCGCCGTCCCCGCTGCAGGAGGCTCTGCAGGGACGCCATTCGGGCGGGTGACGTCGCGGCACCGAAGGTGACGTCACCACGGCGCTGTCTCCACGGGAGTGCGGCGGCAATCCCTTACCTGCCGGCGCTTGTCGGCCGCCTTGGCGGGCATGGCCTCTTCTCACCGCAGCTGCCCCCGCCTCCCCTCACGACCCCTCACGGCCACCCCTCACCGCACCCGCCCGGCCCGTCGGAAGTTGACCGCGGCAGCCATGGCAACACGCCGGAAGCGGCGAGCGGACCAGGCGATTTCCCGGACACCCCTCCACGCTCCCCCCGAGGGAGGGAATGGTATGCCCCGGCAGCCGCTGGACACCGATCATCCGGGCCCCGAACCAGCGAGTGCGGCCCCGCCCACTTCATGAATATTGAAATAAGGGCGGGGCCACATGAGCGCCGCCGCCAGGCCGCTGTGGTGCTGCCCCCGTCCGCCTCATGAATATGCAAACAAGGGGCGGGGGCCGCGGAGAATCTGGACCTCGAACTGGAGATCTCCCCGCCCACTTCATCTAAATTCCAGAGGGGGAAGGGCCTCAGGGAACGCAGCATCCGCCCCCCAAACTATTGACAGCAGCCCCACCCATGTCATGAATATTCAAAAGCGCGTGGCCTCGTGGCCCACCATCCGGGCCCCGACTGGTGGCCGTGGTTCCGCCCCCTCATGAATATTCAGGAAGAGGGCGGGGGCAGCGGCCGGACCCGGAAGCGGCGCGGCTGAGTCACGGCGGCGGCGATGAGGCAGCAGCAGCCGCGGGCGGTGTCGTTGTCATTGTCATTGTCGCCGTCGCTGCCTGTGCCGTCCCCCGGCGCCTGAGGAGCCGCCCGCGCTCCCCCCCGCCCGCCATCCTCCCTGCCCGCGCTCCGCCCGCCGCGCCCGGCGCCGCCGCCACCATGATGGAGGAGATAGACCGGTTCCAGGTGCCCGCCGTGCGCGCAGAGATGCAGCCGCTGGTGAGGGGCGGGCGGGCGGGGCCGCGCTGAGCCCGAGCGGACACGGCCCCGGCGCGGAGGGGCCGCGCACAACCCGCTCCCGCGGGGCCGGCCCTGCGGGGGCGGCGGGGCCGCCGTTACATAACGGGGAGCCCGGGGAGCGCTGCCGCCATCCCCGGCCCTTCATCCCCCCCGGGCCGCTGCTGTGTCATCCCGGGGCACCCGCGCGGCTCTTCATCCTGCCGCCCCCATCCTCATCCTCCTCCCCCGGGGTGCCCCCGTGGGTAGCGGCGGCAGGAGCGGGCGGGGGCGGGCGGGCGGCTCCGCTCCTGCCGCGCTTGCGAGCGTTGCTCCTCCCGGAGCATCCCTCGGTGTTCCCCCGCGCAGGAGCGCCCCTGGGAGCGGTGGGAGGCGGCGGAGGGACCGGGGAACCTGGTGGGAGCAACGGGAGGTGCCGAGGGTGGCTGGGCTTTTCACTGAGATTTAGAAAATAGGAGAGGAAAAGGGCGGTGTTTGTTGCACAGCCCGGGCGGGGAGCGATGCTCCGCAGGGACGGGAGAGCTGCATGGGCTGGGGTGGGAAGTTACACGCGGTGCGAGGCTGCAAGACCTTATCCGAGGCTGGTTTTATAGCCATTGCCCTCGACGCTAAGGTGCAGTTAAGGAGATGATGCTCATCGTGTGAAAAGTCCAGGTGTTTTGCGAAGAAACGCCTGTGTCAGATTTAAAATCTAAAATAGTCTTGCTCACATGAAATGCTTTCCATAAGGAAAGCAATCTGTGAGGGTTTGTTGCCCTCTGCTTTCCCCGTGCCAGGACATGTGTTTTTCGTATCAGGATGTTTTTTCACTTCGCAGACACAATTATACTCAATTAATGAGCTCTGAAGAGCCTGACATAATGGTTACACTACTGCATGGGGCCCTGGGGAACCTTTGCGAGGAGGAAGTGTACTGGCTCGTGGGACTTGGCAGATGCCTAAATGGGCAGGTAGAATGGTCCTGGGCTCTTGGTAGCTTCTGAAAAGAGCTGGGGAGGAAGGCCAGCTGGCTGGCAGCCATGGGAGAGGCTAGACCATCATCAAGTAGTTCAAGACACCTTACGAGTATATGTAGCTCTTTTGCTTCGATGCCACAGGCTTGCTTGTGTATATGTTGTGCCCCAGAACTCTGGAATGTGTTTGTCCATTTCTGTTTCCCATCTGAGAGAGGTTCTCTTGCGTGTTCCCCTCCCCTTACTCCTCAGTCTGCCTCAGTCTCTGCTTGAAGCTGTGTTGTTATTTGTGACTTGGGACCTGTTGAAACACAGTTCACCTTGGCATTAAAGTGAAAGCTGGATAATGTGCTCACTCACTCAAGATGTTGATTCCCTTTGGCACCTGGAGTAAGCTAATTCCTTCTCAGTCTGATTGTGTGAGACAGGTATATGAAATGTTTGGAGAGGTGGAAAGAACTGTAATGAAATACTTGCACGGTTCCTCTTGGCAGCAGGTGAGGATAGGTTATTGACAGGTTCATGTTAGCACTGAAGTGCTGCTGAGATTTCCAATATATCAAACCATATATTGTTTAGAGTTGATGTATCTGAATCCTCAGTTCCTCGTTGCAGCTAGTGCTTGCAAGAAGCTGAGAGCACAATAATTGCCCTAAGAACAGAAAAGCTCTACAAGGTCTACAAAAAACAAATTCTCCCTCGGTGGCAAGAAAAACATTTCTCTCACTTGTGGGAGCGTTGACAAATTGTGAAAATATTCTTAGCTTGGTTTAGTTTGGGTTTTCTTGGTTAGTTGATTCTTTGGCTTACAACCTTTGTGGTGGGGCAAAAAACTGTCCTTACAAGCTAATGTGGGCTTGTGGCTCGCCCTACTCATTGTTTGTGTTTTTATCAAGCACAGGCAACAAATGTGACAAGAATGGCCCTCTATTCATGATATTGTCAGCATAGCAGTGAGAGTAGCAAGTGTGAAAAAGCTGTTGGCAGACAAAAAAAATACTCCTAAGTATTTTCTAGAAACTCCATAATGATAGTGGAAGAATGGAATTTGCACATATATGCATGTTTGCATGGACATTAACCAAGCAGAATCCAAAGAGGTTGTCTGGTCCAACCCTGTTGTCTCAGTACAGGATGTTGTGTTATGCAGCAGTAATAGTAAGCTTAGAAAACAGGTTTGCTTCAGCATCCAAGATTTAGAAAATTTTCACAAAGGGCTTTTACACTTGTATTAATAGAATACTCTGAACCTGTGCTTCAGGGCTGCAGTTCTTTTCCAGTTAAATGAGCTCACAGTGAAACCTTGTGTATGTGAAGGGCTGGGTGTGTAGGATTTTTCCATGTGCATGGAAATGGTGCCATCGGTCTCAGGTGGAACATAACATGTCTGGCACAACATTTTTGCTGTTTTCCTGTGCTTTGTAGTTCTTGTTCTGTACTTTGCAAGTAGGGACTGCAAGAATCCTTGCGAGTCTTTTTATGGTACTAATTTGCTTGGGTAACATGGTTCTGGGCAATACTGTTGTTTTGTTCCATTACAGTTACCATTTGTCCTGTCCCTGTCCCTGCCATCCTGTACTTTAAAGATGCTGTGTCTTAAACCCAGTTGACAACTAAACCCCTCACAACTCACTCTTCTCACACATCAGGATGGGGGAGAGAGTCAGAGGAGTAAAAGCAAGAGAACTTGTGTATTGAGGTAAAGACAGTTTCATAAGTAGAGCTAAAGGCATGCACACAAGCAAAGCAAAACAAGGAATTCATCCACCATTTTCTGTGGGCAGGCAGATGTTTGGCCATCCCCAGGAAAACAGGGAGGGCTCCATCACACCTATTGGTTACTTGAGAAGATAAACATCATCACTCCAAACAGCATCCCCTGTCCTTCTTCTTCCCCCAACTTCATATGCTGAGCATGACACCAGAAGATATGGAATGTTCCTGTGGTCATTTGGGGTCAGCTGTCCCATCTGTGTCCCCTTCCAAATTCTTGTGCCCCTCCAGCCTCCTCACCGGTGGGGTAGGGAGCAGAAAAGGCCTTTACCCTATGTGAGCGCTGCTCAGCAATACCTAAAACATCCCTGTGTTATCAACACTGTTTCCAGCACAATCCAAATCATAGCCCCATAGTAGCTACTGTGAAGAAAATTAACTGGTACCCCTGTCGAAATCAGCACAAAATGCAGAATAACCTCAGCATCTCAGCACCTCTTGTTTCTTCTTTCCAGCCTAAAAGCTTTCAGTTGCACATGGTCTCAGGGGGAGATGCAACTGTCAGTTCTTTTCCACATTCAGAGGGCTGAAGTAAAAGTTTGTTTTCTCAGGTTATAGGGGTCATTGTGACCTGCCACTGAACCTATATTTAAAAAAATTGTGTTTTGAAACATGATCCCCTGCTGAAAGCAAGCAGAGAAGAGAAGGTACCTTGCTTGATTTGAAGTGCACACGCTGCATGAAATATTTTTTCATCCTATTCAGACTGGATGGTATCCTAGGAAAGCACTGTTCCCTCTGAGTGCTGGACAGTATGAGAAGGGTGCTGTGATGAGATTTGTGAAGCTAGGCTTTACTCAAAATCCTTAACATTGTTGGCCAGCATGGGTGCTTTTGACTATCTGATCATCTGTGTAGATGAAGTGTCATCTTACCTTTTGATGTCTTTATATTGAACTCACTGCTGATCTGCCTAGAAACCATCTGACAGGCCTGCTGATCTGCCCATCTTCAAAATTAAGGATAGATATGGCTGTTAAATGCTGAAGGGAAGCCATTCTTAGAAAGCATCTGAAACCTTCCTGGACTCCTCAGCCATCAAACCTGCTGCTGATACTTGCACTATTTATTGATCAGCTGCCTGTCAGGGGTGATAGTGCATTAGGGTCTGGTGTCCACTGGCTGTACATCCTGACAATAACCAGTGTTGTATTTACAGAGCAGGGACAGAGAACCTGACATATCCATGGCTTTATGCAAAACTGAGTTCTTTTAAGCTCTAATGTGTCTGGTTGGGCAACATTCTCTCTTTGACAGCCTTGTCCAGCTGAGATCTGCATTGGTATCCTACTGCAAGGCTGAAGGCAGGACCTAACTAGCGCAATCTGGAGCTGTGTGCAGTACTGCTTGGTCTGACAAAGCCTACTAGGATCTCTGCTTGGCGTAGTTTCTCTCTGCTGATAACAAGTCATACAGAGATTGTGTTGCAGAGCTGAGAAGCATTTGGTCTGCAGGCTGCATGGTGGTCAACTCTGTCATGTGTGCACTCCTACCCGTTGCATCAAAGGCAGTGATGTGAAGTTAAGAAGGTGGGCACTCATTTATTCCTCCCTCCAGGCTGTTTGAATAAGCATTGTGAAGCCAGGCAGGCTGGCTTGACTCTGCATGACCTCTGCCACTGTGTTATGAGAACTGCTGTGTAACTAATGCAGACCCAAGGAAAAGTTCAGTGCAGGACTTAATGAGGCAGAGTTGCTGTGGGCCGATGGACAGAATGGCGTACAGACCCTGTTAAACGTTGTCGGGTTGCAAGATGGGTTGAGGCCTAGTGTTTCACATCTTTGAGAGACTCATTACTCTGCATGTTTTGATACTGTGGTACAATTCTGTACATAAAGACAGGCTGGTAACAGGCTGGTCGCATTCATGTGGTGCCACTCCATGAAAACAGGATGTCTGTTCTGATCTACATTTCCATTCTCAAATACGGGTGGCTTTTGCCTTTCATCCAAAAAGTCCCTGCCTCTTCAAATTAATGTGGACTAATTTACAGGGTGCTTTGTTTACTCCTAACGCTTAGTATCATGTCATCGTTATCAACATGATGCAAGCTCAACTGCAGAAACTCCGTTCTGCTTAGATTCAGTTTTTCTCCAACTTGACTTGTGGAGATTCTTCTGCACTCACAGAAAGGGCTTTCTTCCTTAGCTACTGGGTAGTGGTTTTTTTTCAGGTAAAGTCAATACCCAGTATTGCAGGGATGCATGGTGTTTCAGATTGTTAGCTAAACCCTTGCCAAATCCTTGGTATTTTTGT